GATTTTCAAACACAGTTTGTTGTTACCTCACATTGACTTCCTGTATGTTTGCAGTTTTATAGAGTAGGATCAGATAAACTTGGTGAATACATCAGCTACATTAAAAATATGTTGGTATTGCTTATTTGTCAATGGAAGGGGTCCAACAGCGTGGTAAGTGCTGACATTCCTGTTAATGAGGGCTTTATATACACTGAATAAAAGGCTAACATTGATACTGCAAAGAATAAAAGGAAAAATGGTCAGGAAAAAATTTTACTCATTACTGTGGATTCAAGTTGGAAATGGAAAGAATCATAAAGCAATTTTCAAGATTTGTTTGAATAGGTGAAAGGGTATAACATCTCTCTGACGTGCAAAATTAGGGACTTCACGTAAGAATAAGAGTTTCAACTGGAATTGCTAAAAATTCTTTGAAATTATGAATGAAGAAAAGTTTTTGTGGATTTATTTAATGGAAAATAAAATTTATAAAAATTCGGTATTTTAATTTTGTAAGTAAAGTGTTTTGGAACAATTTTTAAAAAGAATTTTTTTATTAACTACCTGGCATAAGAAATTTGGTAGAAGAAATCTGAAAAAGGAAAGAAATGGTGATAAAGCTAAACGTCTTCACTTTAACAGGCAGCTTAGAGACTTGAAAAGAGATAGGCCTTTACTAATACAGAGTTTCCAACTCTCCTGATTTTCGACCACTGTCCCGCCAACCTGATTTACAATATATTTCTCCCGACTTTTTCTTATTCTTAAAATTTCTCACGATTTTTATGGAACTTGGCTTAATACTTCGTTATATGAAGGGGGGGGGTGATTTTTGGACGTCTGAACGCAAGTGAATTTTCTCTAGATTATATCTAAAACAAAACCTTGCAAATCAGATGAGAATTTCTGTTTTTGTGAGTGAGAGCATACGTGTCCAGAAACGTCATTCTCCAGTGGGCATTAAGCTCCACTTCATGTCATCTGGCATATATTAGCCAATGAGCACAAAGCAAGCTCAAGTATGTTATTTGGATGTTCTTTAGTTATTTCGTTCATCTTGTCCTGAGTTGTGTGAGGGTGCCTTCGGAAAATAGTTTTAGAAATTATCTTTTGTCTTATCTGTCTGCTAGAAAGGTGAAATACTCGTGTATGTTTCAAAAATTGTACACAGTTGACTTTCCTTCCATTATTTCCTCAAGGAAATGTAATAAATTTGCGATGTGTACCATCTGTCGTTGCAATTTTTAGATTTCACATGGTGGAAGGGCGGATGTTCTCAAACATGCGCGTACACAAAAACACAAGGACAGCATGAATTGTTTTGAAAAAAGCGAAAAATTAAATTTTTCTTCGGAAACTAAGGTTCAAAAAGTTATTAATGCAGAATGTCTGTTCCTGCCTTTTTACTGGAGCACAACCTGCCACTGAATGCATCGATCACGCTGCAGCTTTATTTAGAAAAATGTTTCCTGATAGTGAAATCACTAAGAAATACTCAAGTGCAAGAACCCAAACAGGTGCAATTGTTAAAGAAATGGGTTTGAAAAATAAATCTTCAGTTATTGATTGTATTAAAACAGCTTCTGCCTCTCTACGGATGGAAGCAATAATACTGATTCAAAACTATATTCAATTGTTTCTTTTTTTAATCCAGAGTCTTCAGAAATTGAGTGCAGTTTACTTTCTGTCCCCACTTTAGAAGGACATTCAACAGGCTTTAATATATCACAGCTAATTATTAAAACTTTAAAAGAAAATGCTGTCCCTCTGGATAATTGCTTGGCACTAATGTACCAGTAATGGCATTCTTGAAGACTGGTGTTGCAGGCATCTTAAGAAAAGAAAACTCAAATTTGCAATTATGAGGTGCACCTGTCATCTCTTAAATTTAGCAGCTGAAAAAGGGGCAGCTTCTTTACCAATAAATGTGGATGAACACATTGTTGATATTTATTATGATCTTGAAAGGAGTTCTAAAATGAAGTAAAATTGAAACAGTTCCAACAGCTGCATAATACTGAAATGAGAAAATTTTTGAAATGTGTGTACACGCTGGCTGTCTTTAAAGAAATGCTTATCTAGAATCTTTGGTCAATGGAACCCACTTCTTGCATTTTTTAAAGAAGAAGTAAGTGCTTCGAGAGTTAGATAAAAGGCTCTATTGAAAGTTATAAAATACCTAAAGTAAATGGAGATGTAGTTACTACTTTCATTGTTAAAAATAGGTTTGAGAAGGATAAATTTCTGCATCATTCAGCAATTCAACTGGCAGTTCTCAAAATAATATTGCAAAATATAAGCATAAAGCTGATACAAATTTCTCTCAGAATAAAAAAAAAATTGCTCACCACACGAAACATTTTCTGATTACTGTAAGTTTATCTTGTGAAGAACGAATATTTATGTTTTTTTTCTTCAGACCTTAACAAAGCTTTTTGTTCTTTTCACATTTCATTTTGCCATCGTTCGATGTTCTTAACACAGTTCTACAAAGCAGAATTCTATTAATGCATGTTTTGCAATCAATGATTTATTATCTTTTTAATGACGTTTTATCAAAGTTTGTAAAACCAGTCTGTTTTTTGTCTTGTAATTCTGTATATGATGTGATTTATGGTGAAATAGAAAATCAGAAGAAAGATGAAGGTTTGGTAATGGAAGCTGCAACTACAAAAGTAGTGAAAGAACTTTCAGAAGAAAACAAAAAATATGTTTTATCTTCATGTTAGAATCTACTTCTGTCGAATATGTGACTACATGCTACATAAATTTCCAGTCAACGATGAAGTGATTTTGCATGCTAAAGTTTGCTGATGTTTCTGCTCTAGCAAATGCATCTTTTTCTGATATAAGGTACTTTTTGAACAGATTTCCTGTGTTAATTCATTTAGCCATGAAAGATGATGATATTGATGTTGCCACTAATAATATTGCAGTCACAATTTTGTAGTTTACAATTAGAAAACTTGGATAAGTTATAAAATCAGCTAGGATTGACACCAATGGAGTTTAATTGGAAAAACTGAAAGGTGCTGATGGAATTTTAAAATATAGTGAACTGTCTAGAATTATGTTGGCCGTCTTGACAGTTCTCCATAGTAATGCAGAGTGTGAGAGGATTTTCAGTGTTGCGAAAACGAGGACTAAATTTAAATCTAATATTAGTGATGACACATTAGAAAAGCTTTTATTAGCGAAAGCGAGCCTACATGACAATTGCTATGAACAAAATTATGAAGTTTCCTTCTTAACGAAAGTAAAATCTGCCACTGTTCATAACATATGTAGAAAAACTGATTAAAGTGTCTTCCCCACTTAAACGATGCAAATAATAGACATTTTTTTTATGTGTAAGGTATTTTTGTGTTGCTTGCATTTAAGAATTAGTAACTATTTAAAGTTGATTCATTATTAAAAACTATATTTTTATCATTTAAAAAGTCTTTATAACATTGTGATCTTGATTTCTTAAAAAAATCTCCTAATTTTTGAGTGTCATAGGTTGGCAAGTATGCTAATAAAAGGAATATGTCTTCTGTAGAGATGATAATAATTTGCATTTATACATAAGTTACAAATCTGTAGTTAACCTGCCGAGATTTGAACATGCAGGTCAGTTCTGGAACCCAGAATAATTCCACCCCAAACGAGCACTCCTGCACCACCGGAATGGTGTCATTCAATGATGTTTTCTTGGTGGTAACGGGTACCTGGAGCTCTCCATATGAAAGTACGGCGAGAATCAGACTGCAAGCTAGTAAACCTGGACTCATCGGAAAACATCACACAAGCCCACTGTTGCGGTGTCCACAATGCATGCTCTCTACTCCAGGCTAACTGCAGGTGATAGTGAGTTGCAGTAAGTGGAACGCATCTGACAGGTCTACGAGCATATAGACCAATCTGCCCTAAGCGTCTGTGCACGGTCTGCCTTAAAATTGTCGTACCAGTGGCTTATGAGACAGGTCTGAGGCTGTGCTCCACCTGTTTCTTTTGGCAGTAACTGCCAAATACCGGTCCTCATTCGGCGTTGTAACTCTGGGGCGACCTGTGCTGTAAAGTCTACTCACATTACCATCATCTTGGAATCGTTGCCAAAACCTGGAGATGACACTCTGGTCAAGTCTGGAGTCTAGAGATGTCTCTCTGGTCTTCCAAGTTCGTCTAATACTTCCAGTTGGGTACGCCCACATTCCAGATGGCCGATAATTCTACCATGTAAAAAATCATCCAAATGCGTCCTTTGTGTCATAACTATTCGGTTATTGCACTGAAATGCTTATAAAGCGCCTGCGAACGATTTTACTTCTTTGCCTTTATTCCTTATATATCACTCTCTTACACTCTCGTCATTGTGACGTACCATCGGTGTCATCTGGTTACTTCCTGAAATTTGCATATGGTTCTTGAAGATGTGTGTAGTGATTTTACAGGTGATATATTTATTTTAGAGTTCGATTTCTGTGTGACTCCGAATTATTCTTAATTTATAGACATGAGTGTAAAAATGTATAGGTCTGTCCTAGTTATCCATAATTATCATTTTAACTACCTATATATTATATATATATATATATATATATATATAACAAACATTCTCTATTCATTAAAAGCAAATTTAAAGTTAATTTAAATTAAATTTAATGCAAACAATTAAATGATTATTGTTGTTGCGAACTAATCTACAGCATCATTTAAATTTTATAATACACATCTACACACACTAACGTAAATCACAATAGACACTAACATAAATCTACAATATCATTTAAATATTTTATGCATGCACATTTGATACTTTATTCTTTAGAAGCAATTATATATATATATATATATTGTAATTTGATATTTTAGCTCATGTATAAGGATCCAGGTTATCCTTATGATTTCTGCCTGATATAAGAGTTTTGTATGAATAGATGCAGTATGTAAAATATGCATGCTGGGTAAAACCCAGACAAAAAATAGAAGTGAAAGCATATTATTTACATATACGTGACCCATTGTATATTTTATAGGGTAGTGAAGAATTGTTTGCAGTTGATCCAATGATGACACGAAGTAGCTTAAGTGAAGTATCTATACGATCATCTAACGGCCTTGTTGTTGAAAATTCCCAGTCATCCTTAGGTGTTAATGGCTCTTCGCGCGAGAGAGAAGATGAAGATCCAGAGGTATACTGAATAATAACTGTCCATAATTCTGCGTAGTTAATTTTTAGATGTTTATTAAATTTCCTTACTTCATATGGCTTATAAATTTTCAAACTTTTATATTAATTGTAAAGTCTTATTTTTCATTTTAAGGGGTATCCCCTTGCTGAAGTAATTTCCTATTGTAGCCAAGTTAATAATTTCTGTATAAGTAAATACTAATTGTTTCTGCACTATGAAATGTCATGATTAACTTTGATTGGCAGTTTGTGATTTGCCTATGTGTTAACTGAAGTCAGAACAAATTATTTTTTGGGAGGAGGGGGAAAATCAACCATCATTGTGTATTTTTCTTTATTACTTTGTTAATGAAGAAATGCTTCACTAAATATAATTTGAAAATAGGGATATTTTAGAGAATATCTAACGAATCTTTGCTGTATTTTATTTCCACCATCATTGAAAATGGAAATTTGTGTGATGTTGAAAAATATTTTATAAAAGCCCTTTTTTTTAAGCTTACTTGCAAAGGAAGTATTGTAATCACGAAAACATTTGGGCTTCATATTTCAGCGAAAATATCTATTTTGACCACTCTCAAATCCATTTGAATGAAGTTTTTACATACCTATGAACAGAATAAAGAATTTTTTTTTTTTTTCCAAAAGAGATTGTAAAATGGATTCAGGAGAAATTTTTTCATGACATCTAAATGTGTGCAGGTATGTATCTCGCATAACTCAGAAATGAGTAGCCTCAGAACGTTGAAAATTTGTGTATGGGCTTCTATAATATGTCGTTATGCACCTTCCTTTTTGGTTGCAGTCAGCCTATATATATATATATATATAGGCAGAGTGGGTGTATATATATATTATATATATATATATATATATATATACCCACTCTGTTACTTTGCCAGTGAGCTTAGCTCTTTTATTCTTATATATTGGTAAATTGTGCATTTGTTTGCAGTAAAAGTGATTGAATTATGTTGTTATGTTCCAGTTAAGGTTTTTATGCCTTTAGTTAATCTGCATGCAATAGTTGTAGAATTATCAATGATTTAAAAGTTGTTTAAGTGCTACTAAGCTGAATGAACCCACTATTTGTTTACATTTGAAACAGTAGAATAGTGAATTAAGCCAGTTTGTGCACTTCAGTGTCTAGTAGTATAATAGCCCCTCATTAATATGAACAACAACCAATATTTTTAAGGTACTGATTCTACCAAATGTTGCTGTGTCATCAAAAGAATTGCAAACAATGTCTGCTAGAACTGTTTGGAGTTCCACACCCTAGAAGTTCAAGCATGGGCCTAATGTTTTACTCAACAGCATCCTATAGAGATTTAATAATATTTATACAAAGGATTTGTAGCCACTAAATGATTTGGAATTCAGCCAGCTATTTGTTGAAATATATGATTTTCAGCTGCATATAGCGTCTAGCATTATCTTTCTAAAATAAAACCCACATCTCTTTCAAAATAAGTATAACTACCAATGGCCATGTGTGATAAATCAGCGCATTCTTGTTACATGCAGTGCTTCAGAACCATGATCTAATGTATAAAACAATAAGAATTTATCTTTACTCTATTACAGAGTTGCTTCCATCATTATGTTGGACAAAATAAATTCTAGTTCTCATGCTTTTCATGTTACATCTCAAAGCTCTTGTAATATGCAAGAGAACAAGAGTTGGGGCCAAAAATAAACTTTCAGTTTTGTGCACCAAAAAATCTATCCTCCTACATGCTGTCCGAATTGCTTGTTTTTGCATACAAATTCTAAGTTTAATTGTAAAATAAATGTTTCTTAACAACATTTTTAACTGTATTTGGTGTTTTAGGTTTTCCCGTATTTTACAATTTTTAATGAAGATGTTTTGAGTTTTTATATATTTTTGCCTTGATGGGAAGTGAGAACTGAATTAATTGAATGAGAAATGTATCTGTAATGAAATTTGAGGAAATAAATTTAAATGAAATGCAGCAAAAAATGTGTATAATTTAATAGATCGTTCAGTGAAGTCGTGGTGTCTACATCACATTTTTTTTATTTGTGGAGCACTACCAAATGGTCATTATTCTTAGATCAGGTGAATCTTGTTCTCTTGCATATTAATAACAAGAGCTCTAAGATGTAACATCAATAGCACGAGAACAAGAATTTATTTGTTCTCGTGCTATCTCTATGCTTTTAATATCTGAGATGGTTCTGAAGCATTGCATGTAACAAGAATGTTCTGATTTATCACATATGGTCCTTCATAGTTATACTTATTTTGAAAGAGGTGTGGTATTTATTTTACAAAGATAAAACTAGACACTATTTGCAGCTGGTAATCAGATGTGTTTCAACAAATATTTGGCTGAATTCCAAATTATTCAGTGGCTACAAATTCTTGGTATGAATATTTTTAAATCTCTGTAAGATGCTGCTAAGTAAAACATTAGGCACATGCCTGAACTGACTTCTAGGTTGTCAGTTGCAAACATTGTTTGCAATTCCTCTGACAACACTGCAACAACAATCAGTACCTTGAAAATATTGGTTTTTGTTCATATTAATGAGGGACTTTTATACTATTAGGGTGTTAATAATTAAATGTTTTTATATTTCTTACATATGCAGTGCTTATTTGTAGGACCTGCTCACTTCCTTCCAATTTGATGTTATAAATGCTTAAAACATCTGTAGGTAATAGTCTGTTTTATCATTTACTGTTGTAAAATGTTAAAAAATTAATTGGAGAAACTTCATGTGTATCCTGTCTTATATCTCTCTTGTATCAAGTGTTAGTGTTATGTGTAACACATGTATTCTTTTTTTTTTTTTTTTTTTAAATCTTAAAAAGTAGTATTCGTGTAGGTGCTTTCCATCTTTGGAATCAATCCGTCTTTGGAACAGGCATAAACTTTGGTGTTAATGCAATCCAGTGCAGTAAATGTGTTTTCTTTTTCTCATAATTTACTCTAGTTGTCTTTGTTGCAAGAAATCAGCATATAGTATACTGTTTTAAAGCTTATGGGCTTTAAATTGTGTTTTTGAGGACAGTAAATAAAATAATTGTATTTTTAAGCAATTTGAATTTATAATTGGATTTTTGACATCATTGGGTTCAACCCAGTGATGTCAAATACCTTAACATCTGCATTGTCTATGGGTCAGCTTTTTTTATATTGTTTTTGTGCCCTTAAAAATAATTAATGGTTATAATGAGCATATTCTACTTTAACAAATATGAATACTGATGTTACTCATCTGTTCTTACTCCTCACGTATACAAAATTTTCTTACTTCCTGAATTCAGGAAATAAACTTCTCACAAAATGACCTGTTTCTGGTATTGGTACTCTTTACACATTCATCTTGTGGTCCTTCAAAATCGTAGATGAGACAGTTCATTCTGTCTGTAATCCATCTCCTATGTTAATGGAAACATTTGAGGAGTCCTGTGAATGTTGAAAATACTTGATAATTCGCTCCTTGTGTTTAAAATTTGTTATACAAAGTGTCAAAGCTGTATTGGGTGATTTATTATTATTTTAATCAGCTTATTTTTAAAAATGATTTGCAATTATGTTAAAATGAAATATTAAAATCATCTGTAAGGCTTTTAGAGATATTTTAAATACTACAAAAATAGAAGCTTTTTATTGAAGTAATATCATTTAAAATATTTTTAAAGTACATGAAAATGTGTCATGTTATAGTAATCTAAAAGCATATATGTGATGAGTGCACTAATTTAAAACAAATGATGCAGGATCTAAGTAAATATGTTATAAAAACACCATCTTATAAAAAATTGAAAATAGATCATTAAGGTAAATTTTTTATATGCTACATATGCATCATTTCATAGTGTAGAAAATCATTTCATAAAATTAATCGAGATTAATGCCTCCAAAAGTGACTTAAATGGTAAATTATTAATGGTTATTCAGACAAAGTATGTATGATGCAAGATGGTTGGTGTCCACAATCAGTCAATAGTCTTTACATTTTTGGATCATAGATGAAATTACACATTTAGTGGAAACAAATGTTGCTTTATTAATATCACATAAAAGTGAAAGTTTATCTATTCTTGCTAGTGGTGCCATTAAAAAAGTTGAAAACAAATTTAAATGTGAAGTTTTTAGTTTTGTAACGATAAATGCAGCAAACGTAATGGGAGGGGGAAAAAAATTAGAAAACAGTTTTTAGCTGATATTGTATTGTTGTTCAGGTTATGTTTTTAATTTATTGGCCAAATATTTAGATTTATCAAATGTTACTGAGCATGTAGAAAATATTTTGGGGGGGGGGAAAAAAAACCAACTTGCGTTTGCTACATTTAATGAATGTAATGGAACTAGTTTAAATATGCTATTTGATTTGTGCTTAAAATCAGTAGGCAACTTCCTTGGAAAGCTATATAAGTAAGGATGATTGTTGTTCAGATATAGCCAGAATTTTGTATTTTTTACTTCCTGAATACAGGAATGGGGAATTTCTGGATTTAAAAAATTGTATGCATACATTGTCTTTCTGTGCACTGCATTTGAAATAGGAATGAAATTTTCACAGCCAGTGATTTGGAAGTTTAATGTTCTTAATTCATTTTTATTGTTGAAGAGGCTGCAAAAATAATTAAGAATTTTTGAAATCCATTAGGAAAGGAGATTAAGCATTTTGAAGGAGGTATATGTGTCATGAAACAATTTTTTCCATTGTTTGTATGAAATTTGTTGATAATTTTCCGAATGTCATTTCAAAAGATAAAAAAATTTCTGTTAGAGATCAAAATCAGAAACTATGAAATAGTTTAGTAGCTTGTTTAAAGAAACATAAGGTGAAACTCATATTGTAAAGTTTTGAGCTGAAATATTAAGTGTAAAAGAAAATAGAAAATAGAAATAAATGCTCACCATCAACAAAACTGAATTTGGTTTTGCTTGCTACCAAGGGAAAGTGTATTTAATTATATATGAATGCCGATATGACAATATAAAGTATCCATGGAGACTG